GCTTATTTATTATATGAGATACATAAGTAATGTTTTTAGGTTTTACAAATATTTATTTTTTGTCATTTTAAATATAAATAAATATGTTGTGACATTAACACAGCACCATCTAGTTTCATGGTAAGCTACGAGACCTGTGTTACGAATACCAGATAGTTGATACACTACACATATATAACTTTATATACATACACATTATACATATAAACACCCATGACTGGAGTGTAAACACTTGGGCTCATCTTACAAATGAATTCCTCTAGCGGAAGTCGGGACTTAAACCCGCGACCGCTGGCACAGCAAGTAGGGTCACTACAAACTGAGCCAAATGTGTCGTCGTAAAACTATATTTTCGGATTTTTGTAATGGAAACTAATATTAATTGAAATATAACAGAAATGGAAACGGAAACTATAGTAACCTTGAAGACGTCTAAAACCTTAGTCTCTCCCGTGACCATGATTGCTAATAAGCTCGAAACGTCCGGAACCAAAAATCATAATAAATTCAAAAAGATAATTTTATTTAAAATGTCAAGTATTTGCGTAAATCTAAGAAAGTATTTATTTTTGTATTAAAGTACGTGCTTTTCATTAAGTTTTGCAACATTTAGAACTAAATTTGAATATGTACGAAATCAAGACACTTCGCCACTATGCTGGTAGTGATATTAATCATCAATTTTACTACTAATTTCAGTTCTCACGAAATACATTACAATGCAATGAGGTAATACATTTGCCTCATATTTCGACCATTTTGTGTGTTAATGTCGGCACAAACAGAAACGAGCGAAACGCAATTTTTGACGATATTCCGAGGCACGTCTCGGCAATCGTCTGGTCATATATGCAGAATAACAAAACATCTAGCCAAAGATCAAAGACAATAATAGACGTGTGTTGAAATTTATCGACGGGTTGTATCGGATGAATTTGAAATAAACCACTTAATTGGTTGACACCGACGGACATACGACACGACGGAAATTTTAATCTGCTATATTGGTATAACGGTACAAGGATAGATTGTAAGGTGATTCAAGAGATGAGTCAATCTTAGTAACTAGTTTGCGAATTTTTATTGGAACTATATTGGAGGGATTATATAGATGAATAGCGACTCATCTTCGCTTCGCTCGGGTTCGTTCCTAGATTGCTTCCCCATACAAACTTTCATCCCCATTTTCACCCCCCTTAAGGGATGATTTCCGGGATAAAAAGTATCCTATGTCATTCCCAGGGTCTCAAACTTATCTTCTTACCAAATTTTATTTAAATCGATTCAGTAGTTTCGAAGCTGATTCGGTAGATACCAACAAACAAAAAAATCTTTTCTCTTTATAATATTAGTATAGATTGGCATGGTGTTAGGTTGTGATATCATCAGTATCTCGTAGAAGGAGAAAATCAAAAACATAACATTTCCTGTTTGGCCTCGTAAGGGAAACTCGTGCTCAACACAAAAAAGAGCTTTTACCAGAATAAATCGATTAGTAGTAGATAACTGCTTAAGTAAATAATAACACGCTTAGCTCAGTTTGTAGTGACCCTACTTGCTGTGCCACAGGTCGCGGGTTCGAGTCCCGCTTGGAGAATTCATTTGTGTGATGAGCACGAATGTTTGTACTTCAGTTATGGGTGTTTAAATACATTGTTTGTATTCAGCCCTTTTTAACGTCCCACTGCTGGGCACGGGCCTCCCTTCAATACGGGGGATCTGACCATAGTCCTCCACGCTGGCCAAGTGCGGGTTGGCGGACTTCACACGTCTTTCGAAAACTTGCTACGTTCTCTCAGACATGCAGGTTTCCTCACGATGTTTTCCTTCACCGTAAGACAAGTGGTAATCATGTTAGAAATGATTCGCACATGAAAATATCAGAGATGCGAGACCCGGGATTTGAACCCGCTTCACTCGGTTTCCCAAGCGAGCGCGTTACCACTCGGCTACCACTACCTTACCACTGGGCTACCACTGCCCATGTTCTGTTTAAATGCATACGTATTATAAATACATAATAAATAATAAATATTATTTATTTATTCATTTAATAGTAATAAAATAAACAAGTATTTTAAATAAGAATTTCTTCTCACAATCATTTTTTTTTTTAATATAAAAACAAACAGTTCATTAATTCATAATTTTACAAGATAGTTCTAATTAGTGAATAATAAAATTAATACTCCTAAAATAACACAACGCTGCTGGACTGTAACACCCTTAGGCCTTAATACAGGGAACATTTGGCCCATTTGTTGACGGGCCTTACTACCGAAGAAAACTTGTTACGTCTTCTTAGATGTTTCTCATAGTTTAGTAACTTTTAGCATTTCCATTCAATAATTAATATTAAAGAAGCCCAACTTAGGCAAATAATATATACAAATCACATATATGCCCAGGAAATGCGAATTACCTCGTATATTTAGTGGCTATCGACAACCAAAAGTTTCCATCGACACATGCATACGTGACTATACCACTAATGGAGGTAAAGCTAGAAGAAAGTGACAGAAAGAATATATTTTTTTAATACCATGTTATTTATGTAAAGTCGTTTAGATAAGATTCAAATTTTTTTTACGCAAACTTATAATGTCATTGAAATTTATAGCAGCTATCTCATAACAGTTTATAACGTGTGGTAAAAAATAACTCATGTTTCGTCAAAATTTGAATTGTTTGGACACTATTGTTATACTTGCGTAACAACCTTTCACTAATTGGTTGATTTTGAGTATTGCCACATTATCTGCTGGGAAATACGTTTAGGTATACCACCTGCATACATACAGATGGTTTGTGGGACTCGCCAGCAAAGCCAGTACTACCCAATAAAAGCCAAGAGAAGCTCCCCCGTCTTAATGGGGCGTCGCAGGATCGCTTACGCACTTAACCACGACGCCCTGACGGCAGGTCTGCCGAAGTAGCATGGGGTTGCTCCAACAGTCCACTCTGGATCCAGCTAGATTGCCGGAGGCTAATGACCCCCTCCCCCTACTCCCTTCTTCCCTTCCACTACCGACGATCAGGTGAACGCACATTGGGGAGGAAACATTCTATACCTAATTTAAATATTCAAAGGAGAAAAAAACCTCCTAATCCTCAAAGAAGAATAAAACCTCCTTGATTTTAACAACTTTACACATACTTAAAATATAATTACAAAAGTAACGCAATAAGTACGTCGTATATCAACATCATCAAACATTAGAGTAGATAACTTCTTAAAAATATCATTTCATAAACATTGAATGCCCAATTAAGTGGTTATTAAAAATAAACGACTTAATTATAAAGCCAAATCACGTAAATGGAGTTATTGTCTAGCATTTAAGCGTTTAGGAACCGGGAACATTATGGTCATGTAGATGTAATCTGAGTCGTGCGAGCCATCTGTGTTGTATGTATGTAAGTCACGTCGACAGTCATAAGTCGTTAACTTTGGTTTCACAAAATGCGAGTTTATAAAAAAAATAAAGTCTATAGAAGGACACGATTATGCCTCGCATACGTAACGAATCGAAGTAGCACGTGAGAAAAAATAAACCGTTGCGACAATACGCATACGTACTTGCGTAAGCCCTGCGTGTAATCTGCATATGATCTATGAAATTTGAATTTTTCTATACCTAATGTACTCTTAGCGTGGTCAATGGCTTGGCGAAATATTTGATTTCAATTTAGGTTAAAAAGTCCTAACTTGGTTGCACAAATCATTAAAAGTACTCTGCTAATTTTGATTTTGTTTTGATGGACATAAAGACTTAAACATTGAAACAAATACCGACTTTGTCATCATGTTTTACTTTTATACTCATTTTAGTACGTACATATGTGAAGAAAATGGACCAAATTGAATTTTACGTTTGATAAATAAAGCTCTTTACGCTCCAATAAAACTGCGTGTACTCGCCTGAAGCCTGCCCGCCTGCGCTCTTCACATCGCATTGTCCAGTTTATTATCAATTAATCAAGGCGCATTTTTCTTCGAATCCCATCTAAAGCGCTAATAGCAACGTCGAACATATTGTCGGTTTTAAAATAAAATTTAAGAACGCAATCAAGTCTTTGTATACAGAAATTAATACGATACGTCTTGAAAGGCCGCTGACAATCATTAAGATACCGCAGCGTAAACAACCAAGTGTTCGGACACATGTCGCGTGTCAAAGTTTGTTTAAGAAAAAAAAGGGAAAGTAAATTACTCGCTAACGTTTCCAACATTCGCATTCTCACGAGCCGTCTACTGTCTAGTTAGCTGTAATAAGCTCCAATCATTTGACTTTCAATGTGTCAACTGTCGACGCCACCGGGCGGCATTTGCATCGCGTTTTTCTACAGCGCACACTCACTACCTCCTATTGATCTTTTTGGTTTTAAATCCTGAATAATAAGATTCTATTTCGAGTATATCACGAAACGTCGCTTGAGTTATTAATTGGACAAGTTAATCACGTTAATGCGGTGATCTATCAACATCTAATTGTTTTCAAAAGCGGGAGCAATATGGTGACAGGAATGACCGACATGGCGGTACAGCTGTTTGTTTACGGTCGCGGGCGCCGTTTTCAGGATTACAAGCTTAGGTGACGAACGGCGAAATCCAGCAATCTTACGCACTTTAACGACCCACCTAATTTCAATTGTACTGAATATAACCGCATTATTTATTACTTGGCAAGAGTGTACACTGTACAGTGTACGTGCGCAACACAATTTAAACGCAATTAAAATTACGGGTTGATAAAGTAATATGCCTACTGCAAATAGAGTATGCAGACAAAGAGTTCGGAAATGTCGAGATATTTTTCATTAACCCTGCAATGTCATACTACCATTTCATTATTTTTGATCTCATATCACCAAAAACAATAGAAACTACATATAAATAAATTTTAGAATAATTCTTTTCATAATTTTATTTTTTTCCATAATTTTACAATATTATTTAAAACCTACATTTTAAGATTTTTACTAAAATTTTCTTTCAGTTGGGACAAAAGATGGTACCAGTGGCCCAGGTTTTGGAAGACCAGAAGGGGAGGGTGACGAACGTATCGTGCACATGCTCAATGAAGCTCACATGATGAAAACTCCTACACAAGTCCATAATGACGATTCGAGGAGTAATGAAGACTCTAGTTCGCCGAGGACACAGTGTCCTTCGCCATTTTCTAATAAGGTAATTTATAAAAGTATCTTTACTTTTTTATACTATAAAATTATAATTAAAATATGAAGTTGTTATTGGTTACTTTTTTATGTAAAATTTAATTGTAACAACCTGTTTTTTTGCAGGATTCAAGTCAAAATAGAAGGCTGAAAAAATATGAAAACGATGACATTCCCCAAGAGAAAGTGGTTCGTATATACCAGGAGGAGCTCGCCAAGATCATGACCAGACGAGTGGAGGACATTCGCCACAATCGGGACGGGTTCCCTGGGTAAGGAAAAAGAGTATTTTACTGTTATATATATATTATTGAACTCATTTTTATGTAATATATATTTTTATGTAACTCAAAACAATTTGCCAAAATAAACACATTATAAAAGATATAATGATATAATATAAATAAATAAGCTCATAAATTAAACGAGAACAGCAAATCTAAAAGTAACATACAGCATGTTTCCTCCCTTTTTCAGTGGCGGCATGCCTCACATGGAGCGGCCTCCGGAAGACATCCGCATGGCGCTGGAAGCGTATCACCGAGAACTTGCCAAAATACAGCCCGGCGGCAACATTCCAAACCTCCACAACTTGCCAGGAATGCCCCCTTTCACGAACCTCCTGGCTCTGCAGCAGCAGGCCATGCAGAACCAACATATAAACGGTTCAGGGGCGGTCCAAGACCTATCCCTACCAAAGGATAAAAACATTAAAATCAACGGAATGACTGATAGTGATAAGGATAGATCGATGGACGCCGAAGAAGCTATACGACACGCGGGTAGCGCGTTCTCGTTGGTCAGACCAAAGCTAGAGCCCGGACAGTCGACGGGGTCTTCTGCCTCCAGCCCTTTAGGCAATGCGATTCTACCCCCCGCTATCACCCCCAACGAAGACTTCAGCAATTCAGCAGCTGCCAGCCCCTTGCAAAGGATGGCCTCAATCACAAATAGTCTGATCTCTCAACCCCCCAACCCTCCCCACCACACTCCCCCACAACGGTCAATGAAGGCAGTTTTACCACCCATAACACAGCAACAGTTTGATCTATTCAATAATTTAAATACAGAAGAAATAGTGAAAAGGGTCAAGGAAGCACTGAGTCAATATTCTATCAGTCAGAGATTGTTTGGAGAATCCGTTTTAGGATTATCGCAGGGCTCTGTGAGTGATCTCCTTGCGAGACCGAAGCCCTGGCACATGCTCACGCAGAAAGGCAGGGAACCGTTCATCAGGATGAAGATGTTCTTGGAGGACGAAAACGCGGTCCACAAGCTGGTCGCGTCCCAGTACAAAATAGCGCCCGAAAAGCTTATGAGGACTGGAAATTATAGCGGAGCACCTCGTGAGTATATTTTGTATTTTATTTAATAAAGACTAAAATTATAATTATTTACATTATAAACAACTTCATTATTTAATGACTTATTGGCTTTGCATTTACTAATATTATGTTTTTCTTCTTTCCAGCTTGTCCGCCTAACATGAACAAGCCTATGCCACCCACACAGAAGATGATCTCAGACGCGACATCCCTTCTCAGCAAAATGCAGCAGGAACAGCTCCTGAGTTCTGGTCACCTGGGTCATCTGCAACCTGCGCCCCTACTCCTTACACCCCCTGGCTTCCCCCCTCACCACGCGGTCACACTTCCCCCTCAGCATCACGATAACAACAAGGAACGGAAACCACCTCCACAACCTCATCATCAACCAGTGATGAGAGGTCTTCATCAGCATATGTCCCCCAGCGTATACGAAATGGCCGCCCTCACCCAAGACTTAGATACGCAGACAATCACAACCAAAATAAAAGAGGCACTGCTAGCTAATAATATTGGACAGAAAATATTCGGGGAAGCAGTCCTCGGACTATCGCAGGGTTCAGTGAGTGAGTTACTCTCGAAGCCCAAACCTTGGCATATGCTCAGCATCAAGGGTCGGGAACCCTTCATTAGAATGCAGTTGTGGCTTAGCGATGCTCACAATATCGACCGTTTGCAAGCCTTGAAGAACGAGCGACGGGAAGCGAATAAGAGAAGGAGGTCCAGCGGACCAGGACAGGATAACTCCTCTGACACGTCATCTAATGACACGTCAGAGTTCTACCACTCTAGCTCCCCGGGACCCACCTCCGGCGTCCCCTCCGCCAAGAAGCAGAGAGTTCTGTTCTCCGAGGAACAAAAGGAGGCTTTAAGACTAGCCTTCGCTCTAGACCCTTATCCAAATATGCCCACGATAGAGTTCCTAGCGGCAGAGCTCGGTCTCTCCACCAGAACGATAACAAACTGGTTTCACAACCACCGCATGCGTCTGAAACAACAGGCGCCGCACGGGCTGCCGGCCGAGCCACCCGCCCGCGACCAGGCCGCCGCGCCCTTTGACCCCGTGCAGTTCCGGCTGCTCCTCAACCAGAGGCTCCTCGAGCTGCAGAAGGAAAGGATGGGCCTCACGGGGGTGCCGCTCCCCTACCCTCCATACTTCGCTGCGAATTCAAATTTCGCGGCGCTCATCGGGCGTGGGTTACTGCCGCCCGATGAGGTTAAAGATCCTTCAGGAGGCTTAGACTTGTCGATGCCGTTGAAACGCGAGCCCGACGGGGAAGACTTCGAAGACGAGGACGTAGAAAGTAACCTGGGGTCGGAGGAGTCAGATGACGAGTCCAAGCTGGAGCCGAAGGCGACGTCGACGCCGGCGGGCGCGGGCGCGGGCGCGGGGGGCGCGCGCTCGCGGCGCAAGCCGGCCGCGCCGCAGTGGGTCAACCCCGAGTGGCAGGACCCTGACAAGCGCCGCGACGAGGTCATCATCAACGGCGTGTGCGTGATGCGCGCCGGCGATCTGCGCCGCGAGGCCGCCGCCACCGTGCGCGTGGACCCTGTGCCCGCGCCGCCCGCGCCCGCGCCGGCCGTCCCCGCCTCGCCGCCCGCCCCCGCGCCCGCCCCCGCCCTCGCGCCCGCCCCCGCGCCCACCCCGGACGTGCTGCCGGAGGAGCGCATCAAGACGGAGGCGGAGGACGAGCGGTGGGAGTACTGAGCCTCGAGGCCAAAGACTCTGTACATACTATTGTTAGCGCAGAACTTGCGATACAAATGTTGCATTTTCGCTTAAGTTTTTATACCCGCGGCCGCGAGGCGCGCGCTGTACATATGTAGGTAGGTGTGAGATAGAGTACGGGGTAGTCAGGGGTAGGGCTATTGTTAATGTTTCGAGTGCAATCAGATGTAAATCTAAGCTACGGTCTAAACTGAACCCCAGTTGAAAAGTATTATTATGTTTATATGAACCGGTGAGGTTTCAAATATTATCATTGGTTTAGTCGAGTTTTTACATTTAAATTATGAATTTTTATTTTATTACTATTTCTATGTTTTTATCTATATTATTTTATGCGAGCGCGGCCGCGTGCGGGCACGAGTTGTAACTTTTTTTATATATTTTTAGAAAACGTACAAATCTAAACAGAAAGTAAGCAAATGTTGTATTGCTTAGTTATAGTTTTTATTTTATTTAGCAATAAACTTGCTTTTAATCTAATTTCGTTTTTTGTTGTTTTATTTTTATTTTTCCTTTTTATCTTCTAACTATAGAGATAGCGTGTACATTGAGAGGAACCGGACTCCTTGCAGCGTGTAAATAGTACGTTCTGTAAATACCTCCACGTCTAGTGATACTTAGGTAAGTAGGGAATAGTGCGACCGGTCATCCAACGAGCGCCGCGCCTCCCGCCGGCGACCGCCGACATAGAGTTAGGACCTTTTGAAATTTAAAAGTAAATGAACCGTCAAAATTTTGAAATTTTTCAATATAAAATTGAATGTTCAACGTTTATTCAGTTCTTAGGAATACCGAACTCCATACATATCGATGTTATATATAAAAATATATAAACGAGTAAGTTATTTAAGGTTAGCGAGTAATAGCGAAAATATGAAGACTCTTTCACTTTAGGCTGTTTGACAGTTATTATACTTATTTATAGTTTGGAGTACGTTATCTGTGACGATCATTTCGAGGTTGCTTTCTCTCAGTTTTCGATGTCTATAGCCTTGCTTTATGAAGAGTATTTATATGAATTTATAATATTGTTATTGATTGTGCCGCTGAGAACGTTTTACATGCGATTGTTGGAATCACGTCTTAGATAGTTGATGGCTTATTGCAAATAATTTTCTATTCTTGTGATATTTATGTACATTTTTTGTAATTTTTCTTTTTTATTAAAAGACTGCCAACTTGGCAGATTATAGAAAAGATAATATTGTGTTAAAATTACATTTAATAATGTTAGAATTATACATATGTTGGCTCCTGAACTATCCCGCTGTATTTTTATAATTTCCTTTACAATAATATCATCATTCTTCTTTAAAACTTTTGAAATAACCTTTAAATAAGTTTAGAATATAGACTATGAACTTGCTGTATTAAAATCTACACTTTCGTTAATTTAACATATAGACCAAGAGACCGCTGTCACAATTTCCATGTGCAAAGATAATGCAAGCAAAACGTTCTCAGCGAACTAAAGTTCGCCTTTGTTCTGTTGAGGTTGTCGTAGCAAATATCTGTACATACGAGTACGTACGTAGTGTCTAGGCGATGCGTTATTTCCATAATATTATAACATAGGGGTAAATTATAGGCGTAATTATTATTGTTCATATCATAATATTAACGGCGCTGAAACCATTGTCTTCTTTCTGAACAATTTCTAAAGTTATTAAATTAAAATAAAGAAATTGCTAATCAATGTTTGTTTCATTTTCTCTACATTTATACATAAAGAAGAAAATATAAGTTATCTGTGTTCTGATCGCACAAAAAAAACTAGATGTATATGTGTATATGTATAAAAAACTTATTATAAAAATCTTTGAAATCGTGACCGAAGTGTAAATATTTAATATTTCACGAAGGCCTGATGCATCAGATGAAAATTCAGTCCATAGTGTAATACCATACCTATCCATCCAATAATAATAATTTCCTTTTTACAACGATGACATCAGTGAATCAATCAACATCTGAAGGTTACAACTCGCCACTAGATGGCGGTGCAACGTATCGAAATAAAAATTGGTACACAAAACACATTACATATTTCCCCATTTACCCAGGCGAAGCCCTATACAAAGTATATATTAAGATGAATAGAAATTCACATTTAAAGGTGTAAGCAAACATGCTTACTATAGAGCCGCATGGTCATTACATGGAAGTTTTGTCAAACCTTCAGACACACATCACTAAAAAAGATATAGAACAAGTTATAATAAATTGATGAAAATAAAAATAGTAAATGGTGAGGAACATATTTTATTTTGATAATTATTCTAAAACCAGAACACGATAGACAAAAAAACGAAAATAAACAATTGTGAAAATCTAAAGTATTAATAAATCTAATCTACTTCTTCAATGACCGGCCCATCGCTTCCACCCTGCCGCGGCCCCGCGCCCGCCCCGTGCAGTTTCTTCATCGCCGGCGCACAACATGCTGACAACTCTTTCAGTTTGTGCTCATATTCTTCCTTCTCCGCTAAAGAATTGCTCTCAAGCCAACGAACAGTTTCTTCGCACAATCTTCTTATTTTTGAGTTTTCTCCGTCACTTAGTTTATTACCAGCCTCTTCAATTGCCTGTTTCACTCCAAAGACATAACTTTCGAGTTTATTTCGAGATGCAACTATATCTCGTTGTCGATCGTCTTCATCTTTGTACCTTTCAGCATTCGCTACCATGCGCTCGATTTCCGCTTGAGACAGACGTCCTTTATCGTTTTTAATAACAATATTCTTACTCTTGCCGCTACTATTTTCTTTAGCGGACACATTAAGTATTCCATTCGCGTCTAAATCAAAAGTAACGTCGATTTGAGGGACGCCGCGTGGTGCGGGTGGTATTCCTGTCAAATCAAAATTTCCAAGCAAATTATTATCCTTGGTCATGGCTCTTTCCCCTTCGTATACCTGTATAGTGACCGCAGGCTGGTTATCCGAATACGTTGTGAACGTTTGAGAGTGTTTGCAAGGAATTTTAGCATTCCGCTCAACGATTTTTGTCATAACTCCACCAGCTGTTTCTATTCCCAACGATAACGGTGTCACATCGACTAACAGAACATCCTGTATCTTAGAATGACGCTCGCCACTAAGTATTGCCGCTTGGACTGCCGCCCCGTACGCAACGGCTTCGTCTGGATTAATCGACAAATTGAGCTTTTTACCGTTAAAAAAGTTTTGTAACAGAGATTGAATTTTAGGGATACGGGTGGACCCTCCCACTAATACGATATCATTTATAGAACTTTTGTCCAATTTAGCATCTTTAAGAGCTTTCTCTACTGGATCTAATGTAGTGCGAAATAAATCAGCATTTAACTCTTCAAATCTTGCTCTAGAAACTCTGGAATAGAAATCGATACCCTCAAATAAAGCGTCAATTTCGATGTTAGCTTCGGTGCTTGAAGAGAGTGTGCGTTTTGCTCGCTCTGCTGCAGTTCTTAGGCGACGTAATGCTTTAGAATTGGAGTGTAGGTCCTTTTTATGTTTTCTTTTAAATTCATCAGCAAGAAAATTTACAAGGCGACTATCAAAATCTTCGCCTCCGAGATGGGTGTCTCCTGCAGTAGCCTTCACTTCAAAAAGAGAACCATCATCGATAGTTAATATTGAGACGTCAAAAGTACCACCGCCTAAATCAAATATAAGAACATTTCTTTCTCCTTTTAGGTTCTTATCAAGACCATAGGCTAGAGCTGCTGCGGTAGGTTCGTTAATGATACGAAGAATATTTAGACCCGCAATAGTCCCGGCATCCTTTGTAGCTTGTCGCTGAGAGTCATTAAAATAAGCAGGGACTGTAATAACTGCTTTAGATACAGAGGTCCCCAAATATGATTCTGCCGTCTCTTTCATTTTTATAAGTACCATGCTGCTGACTTCCTCCGGCGCAAAGAGTTTTGACTTACCTTTATAAGTAATTTGAATTTTAGGTTTTCCACCCTCATTTACCACTTTGAAAGGCCAGTGTTTAAGGTCTTGCTGGATTTTTGGGTCATCATATTTTCTACCTATGAGTCGTTTGGCATCAAATATAGTATTGTTAGGGTTAAGAGCGACTTGGTTTTTAGCTGCGTCTCCAACAAGACGTTCTGTATCCGTGAACGCTACATATGACGGTGTTGTTCGATTACCTTGATCATTGGCTATAATATCCACGTTCCCGTGCTGCCATACGCCCACACAAGAATAAGTCGTTCCTAAATCTATACCGATTGCTGGCATTTTATTGTTTCGATTTTTTTAGAAATTTCTGTATATTAAATCGCACAAGTTAATTTGACAATGTGTTATTCTTATTATAAAAAATATCAAGCACACTTAAAAATCAACCAGTGTTCAGTATTGTTATAATAAGAAAAATAATTATAATTCTTTTACGTATAATATTAAAAATATCTCTAAAATCAGAAATTAAACAGAAATCATACGTTTTTAGGACCAGATTTCATGTTATAATGTTCTATGTTTTCCTGTTATCTGTATAAATCATACATCTGACAGTGACGGTCACAAAAAAAATTGACATTGATATGTTTTTGTCATCCTATAAAGTTTATACCGTAGATGTGGATAAATTTTAAAACCTTGTTTTTTATTTCTATATTAATGTAGCTTGTAATTGTAACTGAAGCGTTTAATTGAGTTATATTAAGGTTTATCTGTATAGGACGTTTTCATACCGTAATAGTTGATTAATAATCAACATAAACTAAGCAAATAATCGCATGTAAATATTTTTATTTAATTCAACATGCGATACGCGCAATTAGTTGTAGGGCCAGCTGGGAGCGGCAAGGTAATCTCATTTTTATTTCATACTTTTAAATTTAAAGCACTACAAAATTTTACAAATATCTAAATTTTCAGTCGACGTACTGCTCGACAATTGTGAAGCAAGCCATGGACACTAAACGTATAATAGAGGTAGTTAACTTAGACCCAGCAGCGGAACACTTTGATTACGAGCCTCTGGTTGATATCAGAGAGCTTATACATTTAGATGATGCGATGGAAGATGAGGAACTGAAGTTTGGTCCCAATGGAGGACTAGTGTTTTGTTTAGAGTGAGTATATTATAAATATGTTATTCAATTCACTTTCAAATTGAACTGTTGTAAACCACGATCTAATATTAATTAAAATCATGCTGAAATAGAGAAAGAATAAGTTCTTTTTGTTAATGTTAATCAAAATTGCATAATTTTTCAGGACTTTGTTAGAAAACTGTGACTGGCTTGAAGAACAACTAGGTGATGTAGATGATGACTACATACTATTTGATTGTCCGGGCCAAATAGAACTGTACACTCACTTGCCTGTTATGAGAAAGCTTGTTGATGTTTTGCAGCGGTGGAATTTTAGAATTTGTGTTGTCTTTATGATTGATTCCCAGTTCATGGTAGATGGTGCTAAATTCTTATCAGGTTTGTGCAGTTTAAGCCTATATTATAATTTATAACTTTAGTTAACTTCAAAAATTCAAGGTAATGTTTAAAATTAGTGTAATATTCTGTAATATAATAAAACACTTTTACTGTATTATTTGCTATTTTGTTAATAATTAATATAATTTTATGCATGCACCAAACATTAAAATATATTCATTTTTCCTGCCTGCCTGGCACCTGCAAAGATGAGCACCACAGTCACACACACAGTTAAGAAAATCCTTGATGACTTTGACTAGACTAGAGAAGTGTAACAATTCACTTTAGTATCAAATTACACTATATCAAACATTACAGGTACAATGGCAGCACTCAGTGTTATGGTCAATTTGGAATTGCCCCATGTTAACATTTTAACTAAAATGGACCTGCTCAGCAAGTCGGCAAGGAAACAACTTGATAAGTAAGCTTACTTCTTGTATGTATTTCTCGTACATTATATTATTAATGACTTAAAAGTAATTTATTCATAATCTTTTCAGTTATTTAGACCCAGATCCTCACATTTTATTAGCAGATATGAGAAATTCAAAATCAAAATGGCACCAGAAGTATGCTAAACTTACAGAGTCAATTGGGGAAGTCATTGAGAACTTCAGCTTGGTCAGATTCTATCCTCTTAATATAAGGGAAGAAGAAAGCATAGACAACATATTGCTAACTATAGACAATATCATACAATATGGGGAAGATGCCGACGTGAAAATAAGAGATTTTGATGAGCCTGAAGATGAAGACAATGATTGATAAATAATAAAATAAATACTTGTTATTTATAACTTTTTTTACTGTTTGTAGGAATATCTATACATATAATAAAATTCAGAGTCGAATCTGTACAATAAATATTTTTTTGGAAAATCTTATTGAAATAGTCATTATTGACAATAGAGGCAGAATCTATAGTTTTTATGTATGTAATTTTGGTCTGTCTATCTGAGATCACGAAAAAACCATTGGACAGATTTTGATGAAATTTGGTATGATGATAGCTGGCTCTCCGGTTGACATATAGGATACTTTTTACTGTGGGATAAAAACTTAAAAAAAAACCAACTTCCAGGCACTAAAATTTTGAACATAGAACATAGTGATTTTTTACAGTAAAGGGATGTACAATTCAATTTCATACAGGTGAAGTACTGTACTCCTTGCTAGGTTATAAATATAATCTGTATTAAGGAGTAACAGTCCCATTCCCCTTTGGATATTTACCAATATATTTATGTACCGTAAAATATGTTTTCCTGGCTGCGAAGAGGTTGCGGCCAAATGCGCAACGGCAGCTATCATTTTTCAAGATCTCTATGTATAGTTCTGTGAAGTGGAGTATAATTCATTGTAATATCAAATGCATCGTTTTTATTCCAAAAAGTCAACTATTATTTAGTTCATTAAACATACTAGCCGGCACATTTGAATAGGCACCCCGGTCAAAACATATTGTCCCTTTTATTATTGTATATAAAAAAATGATTTCGATTAAATACGCTATGAACGTAGCAATCTTGCAGTAGGATCTTAGTCCAATATTTATCTATTAGATATTCATATCTTAAAATATTGTCGGCATGCACCGACTTCGAAAATATTTTCAGGAAGAAAGTTTTTAATAACATATTTTTAAAAACCGCTCGACCCATTTCGATAAAAAAATTGTATGGGACCACCTGGAAAGTACACCCTTTCAAACAAATCAAAAAATTTCCAAATCGGTTCAGGCGCCTTCGAGTTCGGTGAACATACATAAAAAAAAAGATTCCGATATATTGAGAACCTGCTCGTTTTTGGAAGTCGGTTAAAAATATCTCTGAGAAATCTATACTAAATGTTAAAATATAAATATTGATGAACCCGAGCGGAGCGAGGGAGAGTCGCTAGTATATAATCCTAAAAAATCATTTAGCAAGGACACAACAAAAATAATTTAAAATTTACGAATTTTAATGTAAAATAAACATACTGATGTATAAAAAAGCCTTTATTTACACACATCCATATTTAACTAGTAAAAGTCAAAAATATACATCATTGATCCTCTACACTTTCAAAAAGCTTCACTATGAGAATGGAGTATACATTAAAATTATTTATTATAATCTTAATTAATTTTAAATCCTAAAACGTCTGAGAAAAAGTAACCTATTATATTAAAAACACAAAGTAACACTTCATTATATGAAGAGTACAGGCAAAGAACAGGGGATGTCCTAATGAATAGATTATGGAAAAATCTATTTAAAGTTTAGAAGTTATAATATTTTTATTGAGATCAAAGTATGCAGTAACTTATACTACATATGTACATTTTCGAGAATCTTTCTGTACCGGTATGTCATGGACATTTCCGGTTGGTTATTTTCACTTTGGGCGTAGATAAAAACATATTTTTAGCTACACCAGTTGAGTATTTGTAAAAAACAGTGGTTAGTAAAGCAATTTCCATACACATAGATTTGTTACCAGAAAAAAACAAGAAAAAACTAAAATTGTGTGACTCCCTGTTCTTTGCCTGTACTCTTCAAATTTAAAAATACAATTGATTATTATAACTTCATAGATATTTTTAAGCTGGATGAAGCTGCTCATTACAAAGGTCGACAAAAAGCTAGAACAAATCATTTAATCGATAAAAGGAACAAATATAAATCTAAAGTAACTTAATCAAGACTTAGTTAGATCAAACAGTTCAAAGAATATTCTTTAGTTTACTTATTTTAATATTAAATAAGTTACACAGTAATGGTCTGTCCACACGATACAGACTTATGTAGATTTCTATAGAATTCTGTGTGCAACATAGCTGCACTGCAGACGAATGTTGGTGTATGTATTGAAAAAGTCAGAACTGTGGATGAAAGTTGAAAATATGCATGTATGTCTGCATATTATTTGGAGTCAAAAATCAGTAAAAAATATTAATTAATGAAAAATTAATTAAACTGAGCTAATGAAAAGTCCACACAAATATTTTGTTGTCAAATTTTCGTGAACTTTTCACTCAGACTTCAGTCTGTACGACAAAAGTTTGTATCAAGTCTGTATCGTGCGGACGCATCATTATTCCATTAATATTTCAAACAACGTTCATGCGTATCGTCGTACCACCCTTTGATAAATCCTTCTCGTTTTCTTTTATTAATCTTTCTTTCCATTTTAATCTTAATATCATATTATCATAAGTCTCTTTTTACTATAAAAATATAATTTCACGCATACTTATAATCTCGCAAATCCCCACACAATACACGACATAGGCACTTAATGCAACTAGATCTCTCGCATATACTCAGATCAGTATTGCAGTATATATATACATGTATACATATAATATAATATATAGTATCTAAAATGTTATGGCATCTACATATGTATGTAGAAATTAACTTAACCTAATTCATTTTTGCGTTTTAAATACTCTTGAGCAGCATTTTAAAAGAGAATTTATAATATATTCTATCTAATTTGAGTTTCTAATTATTATCAAGGTTACAAAAATGCCACAGTTGGCAGCCATGTTTTAGAATAACAATATTTATTAATAATAATATATAAATAGTAGTATAACAAATAACTACTAAGAGAACATTATTATCACTGTATGTACATTGTACATGTATTTCATTCAAATTTTCACTAGTTACACAATTTGAAGCATTGCACCAGGCATTCGCATCAAATATGGCCCAATAAATAATGTCATTATATTAGAGAAATTATAAATTAAAAATAAAATAAAACTCTACGCAAATTAATCGTCATTTAACGATTACACTGGCACGCGTGAAGCACTTAATCGAGCAATCATACGCCAAAATGCCTTACATCATTTTGGAAAAGAGCTGTTACTCTTACACTGCTGGACCGATATTAACCAAACATAGCTAAGAACAACGGCAAGGAAACTGGCTTTTAAATGAAAAAAACCGCATCGAAATCGGTCCATCCGTTTCAGAGCTACGATGCCATAGACAGACACACACACAGACAGACATCGACGTTAAACTTATAACACCTCTCTTTTTGCGCCGGGGGTTTAAAATTATTATTCCACTAACATTTATAAATTGTTCTAATAGAATGATGCATGACCTGTTGACTGTTCGTTCATTTTTTCTTTCATATTTTTCAGTTATACTAATTCACTGCACTGTCCGTAACAGTTTTTTTTATCGCACATGAGCAAAACTGCAGGCGAAAAGTAGTTTGTTATATTCATATTATTATTTTTTATTTTATAATTTCTATTCTATTGGTCATTTTATTCATATTTGTATAGTCAGAGTGGATACTCAGTGATGTCGTCACTGTCGTCATTTACCGAATCATCTGTGTCATTACCATCGGCTTCATACTCATTGTCCGTGTCATCGTTATTTGCATTATTGTCAGAATCAGTGTTGACGTCACTCTCATCACCGTCATTCGTTTCATCTACATCCACGCCAGACGACGCTACGCCGCCGGTGTGAACACCGTCTGGATTAGCGTTATCATTGTCCTCAGCATTTGTCATGTCATTGTTGTCGTCAGCATTTAACTCATCAATATACATGTCAATGACATTGCTTGAGCCAATGTTGAGGATGCTGTCATCATCTTGAAAACTTTCAGTCACAGGAGCAGCGACATCGGCGTAATCGATATTACCGGTGACGTCACCGTGATCGCTGTTAATATCTTGTTCAACGTCTGAATCTTCAATTGTATAATCGTTATAAGTAGTAATATTAGTGTTATTGTTGTCATTATCTGGAAAATCAGTGGCAGCGGCGGTGATGACGTAATCCACGTTGACGATATTACTATCAGTGTCAGTGACATTTACATCAGTGTCGGTGTCAGCGGGGTTGACAGTTTGATAGACAGGATTAAAATCCTGACACGCGTCACTGACACAAGCCTCAGCGCGTATGGCGAAGTCCTCAGTGACGCTATCAGTGTCGAGATCGAGGTTGATATTAGTGTCAGGATGTAATTGTATTTTGGCAGTGAATGAGTCTGTTTGTATGTGCGCTTGGTTGTCACTATCAAGCACAAGTTCACTATGAGTGTCCGTGGGAGGGGGGGCGCCCGGGGAGGGCCCGCGGGCGCGGACTCAGAGAGCGGGCTCGGGTTCCGGCTCGGGGTCGGCCACGCTGAACACGTACATGCGGCAGCCGAACTGCAGCAGGGCTCCATGTGGCACGAGGGCGGAGCCCTCCCACGCGGCGCTGGCGGGGGGCGGAGCGCTGGGGCACTTGCATTCCGTTTCCTCCTCAATCGGCTTTGTTAGTGAGCCGTTCAATCTGGAAAGTTGAATGTTACAAAAATATTAACATTTGCACAAGCAAATTTAATACTTATTTTTTTTACTGATAAATAAATGTGTATAATTTCTTAAGTGTTCATTTACATATTTATCATGGAACTATAACAGCCAAAGTTAGATTCAACCGCCGAAGGCAGTAGTCTCCTCTGGGAGAGAGGAGGCACAATACTCGATGTATAAAATCATGACTTAAGTCCTACTTCATCGAGTCCAATACGTACCGCGGCGGCTTCCTGTACCTATTGCGTACAATTTGCCGCAGCGCGTCCGCTCGCGCCTCAGGGTCGGGGGCTGCGTCGGGGGCCCCGGGGGCGGGCGCGGAGGCCCCGGGTGCGGGGGCCTCGGATGGCCTCGCGTCGCGGCTGAGGTCGCAGGCGTAGAGCACGCCGTTAACGCGGCTGCCCCACTCTGAGTAGTTAATCAGCTCGAAATGTTGAGTCACCTATAAATATTTTAAGCACTAGTAATGTTTAAACACTATTTTGTATTATATTGTAAAAATAATAATTGTATGAAATGTATGGCAGTATGAAAAATAATAATTGTATGAGAATATGACACTAAATTGTAGTTTTATCCCAGTACACTGATGTCTCCGTGGGGTATTTTTTACAACATTACACGCATTTTTGAAGTTATACTTTTTTGGGACGTTTGGAAAAAATTACATAATGAAGTTAGCTGAAAGCGAAATGATAAAGTTAGCTGATAACTAATACTTTCTTAGATTTACGCGAATATTTGACATTTTAAATAAAATTATCTTTTCGGATTTTGTCACGGATTTATTTGCATTTTTGTTTCCCGACGTTTCGAATGCTTTACAGCAATCATGGTCACGGGAGAGACTGAGGTGTTAGATGTCTCTAAGGTATTATATAGTTGTTACAGACAGCCTACCCACAATTAACAAAATGAATTCAAAAAATTAAAAAATGGCACTAAAGTACCTTACAATATTTTAACTTTTAACTTTAAATATTTTTATATAATTTTAATTAGCTTTATAATTGAATATAGAATATTATTTATTTAATTTGAGCTGTTATTATTATAATTATTATAATTTTAAAAATATTAATTATTAATCTACATTTTTAGTGTTGCCATTATTATATTTATAACCATAAAGAAAAAATCATAATATATTAATTATTTAAGCCACAATTGATCTATGTGTAATTTGAAAAAGTTAAGATTAATTAAAAATAATATTTTAAATTTAAATTTGCTATTATTTAAAAAACAAATTATTAAGCAACACATTACTACATACATTTACAAATGAAAAAGTGAAAAATATTATTAATCAGAAATGCTATCATTTTGATCTACACAGTAAGAACTTACTACATCTTCCTGTCTGTTATGTTTAGATTTATTATTAGATTTTATTATATTAATAACAGGATCCCATGACGATGGTGGTACCCAGCCATCTTCCCTATTGAAATTAGGATGTTTTTTTAATTTCTATGGCTTCCCGAATCATTCTAGGGCGATATCGGTTTTATTTTTAAATTATATAAAAATATTTAAAGTTAAAATTTAAAATATTGTAAGGTACTTTAGTGCCATTTTTCAATTTTTTGAATTCATTTTGTTAATTGTGGGTAGGCTGTCTGTAACAACTATATAATACCTTAGAGACATCTAACACCTCAGTCTCTCCCGTGACCATGATTGCTGTAAAGCATACGAAACGTCGGGAAACAAAAATGCAAATAAATCCGCGACAAAATCCGAAAAGATAGTTTTATTTAAAATTAGCTGATAACTGTTTGTTGCCATGATAACGGTTGTTATTATCTGACAAATCTATACATATAATAAAATTGTAACTAAGCCGAATCTGTACATTAAATATTTTTTGGAAAATCTTATTGAAATAAACATCATTATCGATACAGAGGCCGAATCTATAGTTTTTAGAATTTTTGTCTATCTGTCTGTTACCGCATCACAGAAAAACCACTGGAGAGATTTGATGAAATTTGGTATGGTGATAGCTGGTTATCCGAGTCAACATATAGGATACTTTTTACCGCGGAAAAATGTCTTATTTCTGAGAATACTAATATGTAAAACCTAAGAATTTCGTTTTTGGTCATCTGAACGCGGGCGGGCGGAGCCGCAGGCAATGTTAGTATTCTATAAATATATGATTAGAATATGCCTAATATGCTTTATTTAACTATTTTATTAATTTATCATACCTTTCACAAAAAGGGAGTTGTGACATATGGGATAGAATGTTTAGCAATTTTTGTTCTGTTACGCCAAAGAAATTTAACATCTTACGTGCGTACATAAGTACACACACATATTTTTTTAATTTTGTGCAATAAAGTGCATAAAAAACAAGTGTGAGTCTGACTAACACAGCGAGGGTTCCACAATGTAAACATTAAAATAAGTTTCTAATAGCTAAAAAGTAACAACCTTGAGTATTTGATAGGAATTCCACCTCCACGCGTTTCTGAAGGTCTTGACAGCCAGATGGACAATGACGTCATCTTATAAGATTTCCTCTTTTCCTTTTGAGGTATGGAACCGTACAAAGTGACTAGTATGAGAGGTCATTATCAGTGTATATATTGTGTATAGTGTGCGGGTTAGATAGATGGTATACCTCGTCGCAGAAGATGACGGCGTGCCGTGGCGACACGCGGCGGCAGCGCGCGTCCAGCACCAGGTCGCAGGCGCTGTCGCTGCCCACGCGCAGCGCCGCGCGCCGCATGGCCACCGCCGCGCCCAGCCCGCCGCCGCCGCCACCGCTGGCGATATTTGTGAATTAAGTTCCAAAAACTGTCCTCTCTGAGAGCTTTGTAATATTACAAACGGCATCTACATTTTCTACACTTCAATTTTTGACGACACGTTTGCCTGTTTGTAGTGACCTACTTGCTGTGCCATCGGTCGCGGATTCCAGTCTCGTTGGGGGCATTCATTTGTGTGATGAGCACAAATGTTTGTACTCCAGTCATGGGTGTTTATATTTATAATATGTACATATGTATTTAAAGTTATATATGTATAGTGTATCAACTACCTGGTATCCATAACACATGCCTCGTAGCTTACCATGGAACTAAATGGTGCTGTACATTTTTTTAATGTTATAAATAAAGCGAGCTCACCTGGCGCTATCTTTGACCTCGCAGAGGGCGGCGCGCACGAGCGCCGTGGCGAGGTCACGCGCGGGCGCGGCGGGCGCGGGGGGCGCGGGGGCGGGCGGCGCGCCCCACACGAGCGCGGCGATGCGCTCACGGTCGGCGCGCGCCAGCAGCTCGGAGGGCAGCGCGGCGCGCGTGAGGCCGAGGCGCGCGAGGCGGGCGCGTGAGGCGCCGCGCAGCGCCCCGGCCACGCGAGCGCCCCACGCTCCCAGCGCACGCGAGCGCCAGCGCCCCGCCGCCGCCTCGCCGGCCGCCACCTGCAAATATACAATATCATTGTCTTTTTTCTTACAAACCGCTCAACTGATTTCGATAAATTTTAAATGAGTGGTCCCATTTTCCTGAAAATTATACCTTTCTAAACAAAAAAAATTCCAAATCGGATCAGGCGTCTTCGAGTAATTAGTTAACATACATAAAAAAAGATTCAGACGAATTAAAAACGTCCTCCTTTAGAAGTCGGTTAAAAAAATATTTATCAAACTTATTATTTTATTATATATTATAAACAGTTATTTTTTTCCCCAATAATAAAATAATATTTCACATAAAAAAAAGAATTAAAAACAACAATTTTCACAAGCAAATTAACATAAAATGAAAAATCTTACTTGTTGCAACCTCTGCCAGGCCAGCAACTTGATTAATCTCTCATCTAACTTCTTCAGCTGCTCCTCCACCGTCGCCAACAACTCCTCAACTCCTTCGTCCATACAGAGTTCCAAGCGATCAGATTTGTTCGGCTTCTTGCCTGGACTCTTGTCCTCAGTTTGGGAGACCTTGCGCTTCTTTACTTTAGTCTTGAGATGCTCAAAATCAGAATCTGAGAGATCACTGGAGTCACTCTGAAAAATGAAAATGATTGAAAATTGCGAAATACTGATCATAAATGTTTATGTTTTTTGTTAATAGAAATTTAAAGTAATTGTAATAATATTGCCATAATGTTAACGGCAATCCATTTAATACTTGTGTTAAATGGTTAAAATTAAAATTGATTCGCAACAATAATAAGCTATTAAATCATTTCTACAGCAAAGATTTCGCTTTCAATAAATAAAAGTGAAGGTATGTAGGGTTCACCTCCGGTTTGTGCCCGGGGTCCATCGGGCAGGCGCCATCGCCGCGGTACTGCGGGCACTCCGCGTTGAGGCACAGCGCGCGCCGCCCGCCCTCTCCGCCCTCGCCCTCCGAGTCCGACGAGTGGGCGCCGCCCGCGCACAGCCGCCTCATCACTGCACACATGAATGAATGAATTAATAACTCTTTATTGTACACCCAAAAATAAAAAGAGAAAAGAAAATATACAAAATATAGAGCAAGCTACAAGAGGCGGCCTTATCGCTAAAAGAGCGATTTCTTCCAGTCATCCTAAGGTATAGGAAATAGTACTAAGATAGAAGGGAGGTGAATAATAAATAAACAGACAGTAGAAAGAGTATATATTTATACATATACGTATTATACAAATATAAAATATAAAAAAGGCAAGTCAACATGTCACGTTATATACACTACTTGGCGAGTAAACGCTCGTCCAATAAGTTATCATAATTATTGGCGACAATTCAAGTATCACACACATTCGAGAGATGGCGCTATATAACGGCATGGAGATCATTGTTAGCATGAGAGCAGATAATAAAAGATTTTAAAAATTATTTTTTGAAAAAAAAAACTCGTTTTTTCAGAAAGGACTAGGGTCCAGTAAAATCCTAAGAAATCTCATTTAAACTGATGACATGTTTGAAAACTTCACGTCAACTTTAAACGAAATAATATATTACACAGATAACTAAAAAAAAATCTTTAATTTCTTTTTAAGTGTCCTATTTTGCCCGTTGAGAAAATACCTGAATGTTAAATACAGGAAGAGGTGATGGGGAAATGTCTCACCAAGTCTCACTTAATCTCAAAAAAGGGGGGATGAGTTTAAATTGAAAGAAGAACAGATCACGTAATTAAACAATGTACTAATATTATAAAGAGGTAATGTTTGTGAGTTTGTGACGTTGTAGTGGGTAATCTCTGGATCTACAAAACCGATTTATATGAAATTTGGTAAGAAGATAGTTTGAGACCCTGGGAAGGACATAGGATACTTTTTATCCTGGAAATCATCCCTTAAGGGGGGTGAAAATGGGGATGAAAGTTTGTATGGGGATTCAAGCTAGGGATGGACCCGAGTGAAGAGGTGAGTCGCTAGTAATGTATATAGCTGGGGTACGTACCGTCCCGGCAGCGCACGTGGTCGCGGCGCGAGGGCAGCAGCGGCGGCGGGCGGCGGTAGTGCAGGCGCACCATGCGCGGCACCACCACGCGCCCGCGCAGCCCCACCGGCACCTTCACCCTGCACACAGACACACACTAATATAAAGATATATAAGGGGAAAGTTACTTTATATAAAAATCTTTGCAGACGTTTATCCAGATTTATTTTAATTTTTAATAATCAACGTTTTGAATGCTTTACAGCATCATAATCATGGCGCCCAGGATTGCGATTATGAGTTTTATTTAAAATATCAAATATACGCGTAAATCCATGATAGTACATACTATTGAAAGTCATTTGATTTTGCTTATAAATTTTTTTATACCTAAATTATTCAAGGTTCTGTATATACACAAGATGTAAATTATTTCCTATCTGAATCAAGGGGCTGAAACACCACCAACTTCAGACTATTACTTAGATTTTTTATAGGAATACTGGAACGGACCGGAAACGGTAACTTGCTCACTTGGGAAACCGAGTGAAGCAGGTTCAATTTTTCCTTTTTCTCACAAAGGCTTTCCTTTGTCTCACACCTCTGATCTGAAATTTTAAAGGTTTTCCTTTGTCTCACACCTCTGATATTTTCATCAAGCGCGAATCATTTTAAACATGATTACCACTTATCTTACGTTGAAGGAAAACATCATGAGGAAATCTTGCTAAAAAAATGTCTGAGAGAACCTAGAAAATTTTCGACAGACATGCTCAGTCTGACCGTACTTGGCCAGCGTGGTGGACTACGGCACGTGCCCAGCCAGTGGGCAGTGCCGGATTTAACCTTTACGCCGCCCCTGGACACAATAAAAAATGCCGCCCTATTATAGAAATTTTGAATAAAATGTTAAAAGTTTTTTTTTAAATAATAACTTTTTGAAAAGTGCAAAGAAATAATTTATAAAAATAGTTTCAATTTTTCGAAAAATGTACTAGTTTATTTTTTTAATTAATCATTTTTTGAAAAATAAAAAAAGCATTTTCGATAACGCAAAGATAATTTTTTTCCCGCCCTACAAATTTTGCCGCCCTGGACACTAGCCCCGGGTGCTCTAGTGTAAATCTAGCGCTAGCGTGGGGCCGCGTACCGGAAGGCGGGTCGCGGGTTGCGCGCCCGGCGGATGAAGTCCACCTTGAGCGCGTGCTGGTCTAGCGGCGCGCTGAACTTGTCCCACAGTGCCACGCGCTCCGTCGCGCTCACCGACTTCACCAGCTTCCAGTCCTGCCGACGACACGACCATCACACTCAAATACCAATAAATAAATATGTTGGGACATTAATACACAGCACCATCTAGTGTCTTAGTACCCAAATTGGTCCAGGTGGTCCCCCCAGGAGTCCACAGAAGACTCGACGGGGGTCTACGGGAGACGGAATCTTCAGATTTTTTGCCGAGTTTTGGGAATATGGTTGAAATGTAGCTGCAGGGGTCCACCGATTGGCACAGCAAGTAGAGACACTACAAACTGAGCCTACGTGTCGTCAATACACCGACTAGTCTACTCAGTGAACTGGACTGACAGGACTTGGGTGAAATAAAACCATGTACAAAGACAACTTGATGAAAAGTGTATTCAACTGCTAATGACTAACACGATACAATAAAAGATAATTGAAAAGGTAAAGTTATTTATGAGTATTTAGGGTATGGGAAAAATTAAACCAACTCCAATAGAAAATTATTTACATCAGTTTAAGATTGTGTAAAACCTAATAATATTAATTATGTATATCAACTGAACTTTTTGACGACACATTTGGCTCAATTTTTGCAGTGACCCTATTTTCTGTGCCACTGGTCGCGGGTTCGAGTCTCGCTAGGGGCATTCATTTGTGTGATGAGCATGAATGTTTGTACTCCAGTCATGGGTGTTTATATTTATAATATGTATGTATTTAAAGTTATATATGTGTAGTGATCAACTATCTGGTATCCATAACACAAGCCTTGCTTGTAGCTTATCATAGAACTAAATGGTGCTGTGTGCTTATGTCCCAATATATTTATATTTCTTTTTCTTCTTCTTTTAAACAGGCGAAACGAATCAACATATAAAAATTCTTTTAGTGTTTCGCCACAAGTAGTCAGATTGGATTGCTACTCACTGATTAAAAAAATCATCAGGTGCCTCAACACACTTAGCATGAAAAAGAATTAGATTTTTTTCATAACAACAATATAGATATAACAATAATAAAATAAAATAGCCTTTATTACAGTCAGAGTTACAGAGTTATTCAGATAAAATTGTTTTAGAATTTACAAAATATCTCTGATTTCTGTGTGCCTTTTGGCAAAGGCCTCCTCCATCTGTCTCCATTGGGCTCTATCTAGCGCCACTTGTGTACACAGTGGCCCTAGAGTTTGGCGGATTTCATCCTCCCATTTCCTTATCTGGCGCCTTCTTTTGCGTTTACCGTCTCTAGGGTACCAGACCGTTACACATTTGCTCACACTTCTCCAGGCTACTTCTTAGTAGGTGGGCACCTATCCACACATAGGCACATAGTCCACCTCAAATTTAATTGGTCAACTCGCGTGAGTATGATGGTAACTTTTGTTTTGGACCTAATATCATCGTTGCGGATCTAGTTTTTTAATTTCACTCCCAACATATTCCGCTCCATTGCACGCTGACACTTTGAAAGTTTTTCCCTATGGAATTTTGTTAGCGACCAGGTCTCGCATCCGTAGGTCAAGCATGGTAAGATACATATGTCAAAGGTTTTCCTTTTAAGATGGATTCCCAAAACTTTGCTCTTCATTACTTCCTTCAATATATAACAATAATAAGCCTAAATAAATATTATACTTATGTGTTCATAAAGTAGAAACTCAAAAGTAAAACCCCTGTACTTACAATGTATTGCTCCACATGATTCGGACACATCCAGCGGCCTGTAGGCAAAGCTGTCAGAGGCGGGTCCAAGCAGTCCTGGTGAAATACCATAAATAATTATTAAAAGTTTCTTAATAGCTCTTACAATTGTTATAAAATCTATGCAAAAAATTGTAAGAATGCAAGTAAAAGTCAATAAAGTAAGGTTTAAATGTTAAAAAACAGTTTGAAAATTATCTGTGTAGATTTTCTTGTATTAATATTTTTGTATTATTAATAGTTTTGCAAATATATCTTCATGTGACTAACAATATAACAACAATAGTTCTCTCATTTATCTCAACTAAAAAATAGTTATAAATGTGTAATACCTGATGAAATAACAATGGGCAGTAGTCGCACTGTATCAATGGTGCAAGCTTGCAGGTCGCCCGACACACGAAGCATGACTTGGCAGGCAGGGGAACACAGCCCCATGCATCAACGGTCACTAGTCCGTTACCATTCTTGCCATCTGAGAATACATATTTATAATATTAAAGCCATATTATGTATGTATGTATTATGTATATACATATTCAACCCTTTTCAACATCCCACTGCTGGGCACAGGCCCCCCTTCGCTGGCCATGTGTGGGTTGGCAGACTTCACATGTCTTTCGAAAACTTGCTAGGTTCTCTCAGGCATGCAGGTTTCCTTACGATGTTCTCCTTCACCATAAAGCAAGTGTTAATCATATTAGAAATTATTCACACATGAAAATACACTGGCACAAGAACCAGGATTTGAACTTGTTTCACTTGGTTTCCCAACGTGCTCAATGTTACCACTGGGCCACCACTGCCTTCTATTCTGCAGATATATTATGCCTTAAGGCATATTATATCTATCTGTATCCAATTGTTTAATCTCATAATTTAAATGTATTTATATTATATCAGTTATCATTTTGCCAACTGTAAAAGTTTTCTTCATTGAATCAATAAACATAAATCAACTATTTTAATAACTACCTAATATTAACTTGTATATTAAAATATTTACCTTTTTCAGTTCCAGGAAATATGCAAGGTACTCTCATCTCCCTTGGAAGCTCAAATTGTTTAGGGTTCATCACCTTGGCTGCTTTCACCAAGATCTCCATGGGAGACAGTTCCTTTTCTGGCTCATTCTCTTTTTTTGCTTCTTCTTCTTCTTCTTTTTCTTTGTTCTCATCTTTTCCTTTCTTCTTGGCAACAGAAGTAGCACGGCTATTTCGCAGAGATCTAGACAAACAAATATGTTCTATTTATTATATTGATTTAAAAAAAAACAATGTATTTCAAATAAAAAATTTATAATTTTATATTTTATTTAAAATAAATAATCACATTACATTTAATTATACTATTTAAGAAAGCTAGCTAGCTAGTACCTAATTTTAACTTGATATGGTAGTCACCTGGTTTTTTTGTCAGTGTCCGATTTGTTGTCAGCAGGAGATTGAGCACGACTAGATCTTGTGCTGGCAGGCTTGTCATCACTTGCGCGACACTCGCGACATAGCCATAAACCAGCTGGGATATCATTCTCATCAAGAGGAGGGTCGCTATAAAATACAAGTTATCTTAAATTTACATCCATTAATTATTAGTGTCATAAAAATGATACACCTAATGAACAAAATACATAAATATAATAAAATACGAATTATTTAAAATTTAGAGGCAAGTCTTAATATTATATAATTTAATTCAGAAAAAATATATATAGTTACTAGCAGCCAAGATGAAAACTCGCCGGACAACGATCACAGCATATTAGATCTCCACCTTCGCCACACGCGTCGCATGAATCGTGGTTGTGCCCTTTACCTGGGCGTTTGTAATAAGGATGCTGAGGTTTCTTAGGTTTAGGAGCATTCAAATCTTCATCTGGAGGTTTTATTAACGCTCGTATAAGCTGCAAAAGTTTAAAAAGAGCCTCAATAGTTATCTATAATATCCCAATATTATGTAAAATCTTGAGTACATTAGATGGAAGGAAAATGGCGCCAGGCTATACAAAAACTTGGAAATACTTTGTAAACTTACCGGCATTAATCCGCCTGAGTTATCAAGATCGTAACCAATGTTAGACATTTTATGAGATATTTTGCACTATTAGAAATAAAAATTATATGACTTAAACAAATTATAAACACTTTAAAAAAAGTTGGTATTCACTCCTGAAACAATCTTCTCAAAATCAAATATATACACATATCGCTTCGAGACCTAATAAAAATTCTATTTTACATTTTATATGTACACAAAACAGTTATAAATTAAATAACTTGCCAAGGAGAATCTCACTTAGAAAATTGCCGAATTATATTAAAATCCGAAACAATTCTAATAGACGATCAGAAATATGGCCGCAAAAGAGCTTGCCTTACTTGACAAATGACTTTGACTGTTGACATTGACAAACAAAATATTGCAATAGAAATGAGAATTAAAAATTGAATTGCAAAATTGAAAAAAAATTGTAGCCATTTTAAAATAACTTATGATTTATTGTATATTCTAAATATTATGTGTTTTTTTTTCAGTGCGTTAAAATTCCTACATTAGACAGTAGACACCTCCAGGCTCCAACGGCTAATTAGGCTTGTGGTGATAGTGATCTTGTTGTTCTTGGTCTATAATCACAATTCACAGCGACTATGGAGGGTAGAAGTAAGTAGGACCGCCTTGTATGGGGGATTAGTTGAAAAAGTGTCCACTTGTAAACAGCAAATTATTGTTCGAACACTCACCGAAATAGTGAAGGAAATGGGAATGATATGAATTTAGCATTTATAAACAGAGTGAAGTGTGCTGGGTACTGCTATTTATTAAAAAAACATATGCTATATCGTTAAAAATATAAATTTTTACTCCTATATATATATATATATATATATATATATATATATATATATATATATATATATATATATATATATATATATTGTACATACTGTAAATAATAAATATCTATTGATTGCCTGTTAGACCTGTTTTGGTGACTTCTACATTTAGATAATAATTATGAAACCACTATATCCTTTTTTCAGTATGCGATTGCCTAAATGATTGAAAATTTGCTTGTTACAATTTTAATTGTTTTTTTTTAATTCAGTTATTATTTAATACTTTTATTTAATCTATTTGCTATTTGCAAATAATTGGGATACTTAAAAATACTGTATAATTTTATTCCATATTCATGTTTGTCTGTATATTATAATAATTTAAAAAAATGCGCTGTAACAAAGCGGAAATTTTTCTTTCCTTTTTTAATTTAGTATCCTACTCTAAAAATTTGTGGCGCTCCTTTTAAAATTCCTCCAATTGGTACTACTATAGTGCCACCCTAATTTGCTCCCTTTCAACGGACACTTTTTAATACACTGAGATGGTCCTCCTTACTTCTCCCCTCCAAGCGACAACGGACAACAGCTGTGTAATCTAGGACGATGTATTGTGATACATCGTCCTAGTGTGTAATTCAATAAAGTGAACATTACTAAAGACTAATTTATTAAACAAACTGGCAACACAATCCGTATACGCCCTTTTGTCATCTTGTTTCTTGAGGTGTGACGCTATCAAAGTACCCTTTGGTAGCAAAGAGTATAATAATATACAGGTGAGGAGTGAAGGTACCTAGCAAAAGTGGGGATTGCACTGATTTTATTAATTATTCGGTATGTTAATAAGTTTAAATTCTAAAAAAGTGTCCAGTGGTGAGCAGCAAATTGTAATTCAGAAACTCACCGACATATCGCTAGCGTAGCAAGTAGAAGTGATATGAATTTAGTAGTTATAAACGGAGTGAATTATATAGATATTTATATTGTGATGCGAGCTCATTTCTAAGCAAAATCTGAGAATAAACGTTATTATGCAGCCAAAACCAAAACAAAAATGAATAGAAAAAATGCGAAATTACTGTTTTGAATTTATGAGTTATAATTTTATAATTTTTTTATCTTATATTTATCGTTAAAAACGTATATTTATATATATATATATATATATATATATATTTTAATGCTCATAATAAAAATTTGTTAATTGCCTATAAAACCGATTTTATGATTACTTCTTTATTTAGGTCTATATTAAAAAGTCCTGAAGACTTTTTCATCACAAATTTTTCATTCTTTGGGAATTCATTATTCACAAAATTACTTTTTCCTCAGAAGTTAAGTTTATTAATTTTCAGTTCAATTTTCATCTTACACTTAACATTAAATAATAATTAGATACTTGAAAATAATATGTAATTTTATTCTATATCGGTGTTTACCTATGTTAGAAGTATTTTGAAAAGTGCACCGCAACAGCGGAAATCTTTCTTTCCTTGTTTATTTCATCATCAAAAGATGGTAATGAGAGTAATCTTATGTGTTTTGGCGCTGTTTTAAATTCATCTACTTGATTTCTGTGGCGCCACCAATTTGATGCTTGTCACCGGTCACATTTTTATACACAGGGATAGTTTTCTTTACTTCTACCATCCGTATGATATGGAAGGTAAAGGTAAGGAGTAACTATCTCTGTGATGAAAAAGTGTCCGTCGAAAAGCGTTAAATTAAGAACGACACGTAGCAAGAGGGTACAATTTGAAGGAAGTGCCAAAAGTACTACTAAAAGTTCACAAAAAATAAATCGCTCTCTAAGTTTATATCGCCAGTTTTTTCGATTATATTTACTAAATTAGTTTGGACTGCTTTAAATAATTTTAATAACTACTAAAGTGACCCAAAATATTAAAATTTTTCAACTCAACACATTTCACTTCGCTTACAATTGCTAGACCTTCATATCATACCCTCTCGCTATGCTAGCGTCATTCTGGTGGGTTTTTGAACTGTTATTTACCGCTAACAGGTGAATACTTTTTAACTTGTCTCCCTTATAAGATTGTTCTCCTTACCTCTACCTTCTCTGCGATAGGTAACTAAATTTAAAATTATGTAACTACAATCATGTCATATTGATCATAAATGCGGGGAATAATAGTTTATTGATTGATTACTGGTACTCTTACAGGCTAACTAGTTTGCCTGCATCGTTTAATTTTGTATAATTACTCCATGACCGCTCTAGTAGGTTCATAGTGATGTAGAACCGTACTCGTAGTATTTCTCTGTAGTTTGTGGTAGAGCCTTTATATTATCTTCCTCAATAGGCTAAAAAAACAAAAAATATTTCAAATCGGCCCAAGGTCTAAAAACATTTTAAATACTATATACTAATTTGCCGCCCTAGACTTAAACCTACTCAGGGGTCGATTTCTAAAGTAGGTAGCTAAAAATGTTGTTTTGGCTAATAATTTCGTAATACTTATAATATAGTAATTATTTTTTATGCAACTAGTATTGCTTGCATTGCAATGCTAGTTACATAATATTTGTAACGAGTACATAGGTACTTTTGGAATCTAAATATAAATAGGCAAAGATAAAACAGTTCAGAACCCTTTTCTCCTGTGTGTCAAGGGATTTTCTTTTTTAATAATAAAGTATATAATTAAAATAAAAAAAAATAGTCCCGTATCAGTATTTTGGATTGAAGGTTCAAGTGGGTTATAGGTATGTTCTTTCTCATAAATACGTTTACTGTGGCACCATTCCCGAATTTTGACCTTTTTCGACTTAAAATGAATGGCTTTTTCAAATAACGATTTTTTTGGAAGCCCTACAATCTACTCTTCATTTTCTAATGGATTCACAACACTCGATACCTACTCTGTTGTGAGATAAAAAGTGAAGTTATTTTGATCGGAAATTTGCTCATCCGATGTCAGTTCAGTTCAGGATCAGTGTCATTTCCATGTACTCGAGATAGCTTCTAGTAGAGGTTTGAAACATTTTCGTTGGGCTGCTTTTTACACAATCAGCTTAGCATTTTAACACAACGTGGACACTGGACAGATAACAACAAACACAGTTACTTTTTATATATGTAGAGCATTTAGAGTGGAACAATAAAACTACACTTTGGACTTTTGAATTTTATTATTAGATTTACACTGTCATTTACAATAAATTTCCATGTAGATGGTAGGACATAAATCAATATTGCATAACACTAAGGCTAATTGCATCAGTATTTTTTGTGGATATAAATTAACAAAAATATATGCAATATTACAAATTCAAATAAAAATAACGCTAATATCTTACTCGGGCACGCACTTGCTTGCTTGCTTGCTGCCGCCGCTGCTCGGCCAGATACGTTCAGTAGTGAAGATGGAATGTCTTCGAGTCCCGAGAGCGATTATCGCAAATAAATAATTCCCCCGAGCGCCTAGTGCATAACCTTAACCTAGCACAACTTTAGAACTACCGTCTGTCCTGTTATTATCGTACATGTAGCGCTACAGCGATATTTTCGAGAAACATGCGAAATTAAAAAATAAATTAAAATATACAAAATCTCTATCACAATACTCGTAAGTAATTAAAGCGATTCAAGTGTGAATACTCCAAAGTTGTAACACGAAGGGGCTCCGCCGCGGGGGCGCGCGGGCGCAGTACTACACAGTAGTCGCGGCCGGTGGCGCGGTGCCGCGGGGCCGCGGTGACGGCACACCACTTAGCTAAATATTGCGAGTAACTACATATATCACCTAACAATGTTACGATCGAAGTATACAAATGCGGGGCGCGGACTGTTTGTGCGGGCCGGGCGGCCGAGCGGAGATCGCTTCATCGTACACGCGGTATAAAACACTTAGAAAATTTACAAGTTCCCACCTAGAGCGGACAGACAGACGATGCGGGTGCGGCCGCGGGAGCTACTCCGTCGGAGACCATATTTAGGGTATACGGATAAAATGCAATACCAAAGTACTTTTATCTTAAACATTATATATTTTCCTCGTAATCGAAAACGAAACATCTAATATATCAAAAGAAGTTAATATTCAAAACGTATAATAATAACCGGTAGATTTAGTCGTTTGCCGCGACGCGGTCGCCGTGTACGTTTGTTGTCATCGAGGGCTGGGTCTTACATGATACTATAGTTATTTTTTATAATATTTAAACATGCGATGGTGCCCGCGACACACACATTACGACACGTCCTGGTCCTCGACGTCCTGCGCGGGCTCCTTGGCGTCGGCCTCGGCCTCGCCGTCGCCCTGCATGTCGGACGTCCACAGCGTGAGGTTGTCGCGCAGCAGCTGCATGATGAGCGTGGAGTCCTTGTAGCTCTCCTCCGACAGCGTGTCCAGCTCGGCGATGGCGTCGTCGAACGCCGCCTTCGCCAGCCGGCACGCGCGGTCCGGGCTGTTCAGGATCTCGTAGTAGAATACCTGTCACACACGCGACACATCAAAATATCAGGTTTACAACTAACCTAACTGACTGTTGCTTAAAAAATATATCAAAAATAGAATGAAATATAGTGTGGGATCAATAAAGTTGATTTACATTCCGAGCAGGTGCTCCGCCGTGCTGAATTGCCTCTAGTTGTAATAGTACATTTACAATGACAATAATAGATTTATTGAACATAAAATGTCCCATAAACACTGTTTTAACATAAAATGAATAGCTATTTTGGCTATATGCCACATATCCTAAAATTTTACTTTTGTATGCCGAACTTAAGTTATTTAGTTATTAAAACCTAACACTATTTCAATAGAAGCCAAAGGAGATGTGTGAAATTAAAATTCTATATTTTAATAAATAATAGAGGAGAACAGTAATTTGAAAGTGAATTTGCAAAATTAAAAGTAGAAAAACAGAGTATCGACCTCCTAACTACAATAAGGTATTCAATTACTTCTACTGGCCCATACCGACTTCTTCTTCTACCTTTTTCACAGGTTTGCACCTGGATCCGCCAAAGAACGCTGACGCTTCAAAATAAGCGATGGTCGCTAACGACAGACTGCAGGCAAGCTAGATCAGCATTGCCCGCAGTCAACCCACGTCTCACTAAACGCCTACTAAACTTAAATAGAACCACTCTCAAAATAATGATAGGGACAATAACGGGCCACTGTCCCTTAAACAAACACTTATTTAACATTGGCGCAACGGACAGCCCTCTCTGCAGAGGGTGTTTTAGCGCTGTAGAATCAGTCGCTCACGTAGTCCTGGAATGCGTAGCGGTAACTTCCCAACGAAATGAAATCCTCGAACCGGTGAGGTCGCTCCGCGAAGCCTGTGAAGCTCCCAGGAAGCTTTTGCGCTTTTGGACGGAGTTAGGCTGGCTGAACTACCCAGGATTCGCAACGTACAACGGACCAAATGCGAGTCTAAGTGCGGAAAACGAGTCCAATATACAATACAATAGTAAGAACTTCTTGAAGGATAAAATACATACTAAAATAAATGCGGCTGCGTCTTTCATTTTCCATAAGGCCACATGTACACAAACAAGACGAGTAATGTATGGGGAATGCGAGGTGCGAGTGACATCAGCGCGTGACGCACCGACGGCGCTTCGTGGAAAATTCGCTACAAGTTTTTTATTTTTTAGAGTTCCGTACCAGAAGGGTGATCCCCTGCTGTCCATCTGCCCCTGTCTGTCAGTGGGCTGTATCTCATGAACCGTATTAGGTAAAGTGTTGAAATTTACACACTGTATATTTCTATTGCCGCTACAACAACAAATTATAAAAAACCAAGATAGCGAATTTCAAAATGGCCGCCGTGCAAATTAAAAATAAAATATATTATAGCACAGACCCCTTCGTGTGCGAATCCAACTCACACTTCACCGATTTTCATTTATAGCCGGCATCAGTAATAAGCCATTTTCCAACTTTTAATAGGACTGTGGTATAAACAATTATAATTAATGGTGGTCGATAACCGCTTGTTTGTACTACGTCATGTTGTCTTACTGTTTGTATGTACGATTAGTTTAATTAGCACTTGTCTAATCATATTGACATTTATGCACACCATACATAAAAACTTTAAAAGTTACTTATTCTGAGTTTGCCATAAAAATGACAAATTTGTTTCATTTCAACGTTATTTTCAATTAACATTAAATTAGATATATGAATAAAATAGTCCTTAATAAAAAATTATATCTCACTTTAAAGCAAAATTAGATGGTAATTGTTTCATTATATTTAGTTTTCTTTTATTCGAGAAATGAAATGAAATTAATTTAATCTATACTAACATTATAAACAGGTAAAGTTTATTTTGTTTTGTTTGTAAAGTTTTTATGAGTTTGCGAGGTTGTAGGGGGTAGTCTCTGGATCTACTGAACAGAATTAGATGAAATTTGGTAAAAAGATAGTTTGAGACCCTGGGAAGGACATAGGATATTACTTATCCAGGAAATCATCCCTTAAAGGAGTGAAAATGGGGATGTAAACTTGTATGGGGAATCAAGCTAGGGACGAACCCAAGCGATGCAAGGGCGAGCCGCTAGTAGTCTTATCTATTGATAATAGTGTGGTGTGTTGATATGTTTAGGGTTTCTGAAAAACCACAAACCCATGAAGGTTTGTTCGGGATGCGTGACAAGACTTATTTTTACTTATTCTTGCTTCACACACACTTTACTTGCGATAAGAAGGATGAAAAGTAGCCATATATATATAACCTTCCCTAGAATGCAATCTATATCCTTGTAAAATTTTACAGAAATCTGTTGTAGTTTAAGCGTGATAAGGTAACAGACAGAATTACTTTCACATTCATAACATTAGTGTGGATGGATGAGGCAGTGGTAGTCCAGTGGTAACGCGCTCGCTAGGGTAACAGAGAGAAGCGGGTTCAAATCCCGGGTCTCGCACCTCTTATATAATTCATGTGCGAAACATTTTTAACATGATTACTACTAGTCTTACGGTGATGGAAACATCGTAAGGAAACCTGCATGTCTGTGATAACCTAACAAGTTTTCCAAAGTCATGTCCATTCCGCCCGCACTTGGCCAGCGCGGTGAACTATATAGCCTGATACCCCTCGTATAGAAGGGAGCCCCATACCCAGCAGTGGGACGTCAAAAAGAGCTAAATACTACATTGATGGATGTGGTGTGTAATGTAGGGCACGTTTTTTTAATTCCTTGTTGTAACTATAGGGTATGACTACGAGCGTCCCTGGTCCATGCTTACTGAGAAATTAAGGGCGAGTCCGAGGCGGATGGGGTGCGTGGGGGGCAGCTCCGTCATGGCGATGTCGGAGGCCGCCTTGTACGCGACCAGCGAGTTCTCCGCCGCTTCCTTGCGGTCGTTGCCCGTCGCGAACTCCGCCAGGTACCGGTGATAGTCGCCCTGGAATTACAATTTTTCATTACTAAAACTTCGTTGTTGATTAGAATATCTTATTCTTATATCTGTACTAAGTGTAACAAAATCGTTATATTTATTATAGAATAGCATAATCCGTGGCTTCGTTCGCGCTAAAACTACAAAAAAAAAGGTTAGATTTCATAGTTTCATCTCCTATTTTTCCCCGGGAATTTCGAAAATTGCTAAAACACACTTTCACATTTAATTATAATATATATAAAGATATCTAATATTGATCTCGTCACTATAAAATGTTGTTATTTAACTAATCAGGTAACAATTTATAACGAAGTTGTTGAATAGATGCTTTCATAGACAGGTACTAAATAAATTAACCGATTTGGTTTTCCATTGTATCTCAAAACTATATGAAGTAGAAGAACTGCGTTGCGAGACTTGCATTTTTACATGTTATGTATTTGATGGGATATATAATCGTCGAATATCGCCTATTAGATTCAATTTTTAGTATATGTACATTTTACATATTTGGTTCTTAAATAATACTTAAGCGTGAGAAACATCATCATAAAAAAGCAAAGTCTTCAGAAGGCTTGCACAAATTCCTTATTTATAAAAATTATACTTTTACTAGTGACTCACCCTCGCTCTGCTCGGATTCGCCCCTAGGGTGGACTACCCTTATCACTTAGTCTTAGGGGTATAAAAAATAGTTTACGTCCTATTTTCAGACCTACTGAATATACACACAAAATTTCATAAGAATCGGTCAAGGCGTTTCAGAGGAGTTTTATTACAAACACTGTGACACGAGAATTTTATATATTACTCGTAGAATGATTAATGCTAAAACACACAGTTCTCGTGTTACCAAAATAAAGTTTTAGTTGTTTTTAACATTTATTTTTTAATTTATAACGTAGTTTATACCCATCACGGAGCAAAAGTGTCATCAAAGTGAAATTAAATCGGATTAACCCAATTCGCGCTTGTATAGACTGTTGCGGCTTGGGTATATAAATCTATTACATTGCGAAACATCACTTTTTTAAGCTTCATTTTTATATTCAATAAATGAATACCTTACTTCATAATATATCTTTTTAAATAGAAGTACATGGGCTACCGAGCTTCGCTCGGAGTTTTTGGCCTGAAGTACAATTTTCTAGTTTTTAAAAATAAAAACTAAAAGCTTGAATAAATATATAAAAAAAAACAAAACTAAAAACTTTGTATGCGACCGAGATTTGAACCTGAACACCTGTGATTGTTGATCTTGCACGTTGGCCGCTTGACCACGATGCTTATGCCCGAGCGTGCAAATTACCTACCATATTTTGGGTGGAATAATGCAAAAGAAAACTGCATGAAAACTCGAAAACACACGTTTTCTCAGACATAACACTAATCTAGATCGATTTATCGCCCCAGAAACCCCCTGTTCACTAAATTACATGAGATTCAGATTATATATAATACTTATACAAGAATTGTTCAAGAATCGATTAAATATATAAGATATGACTACTATCAATTAAATCACTACAATTGTCTCACACCCGACGAAGACAACATAAATATGTTGGAACATTAACACACACAGCGCCATCTAGTTCCATGGTAAGCTACGAGGTCGGTTATGGATACCAGATAGTTGATAAACTAGATACATAGTCCGGCCATAAATACTGTTACAATTAAAAATAAACAAAATATTATGGATCGGGATCCGGATGCAAGATTGCTACGTTCATAGCGTATTTAATCAAAATCATTTTTTATATACAATACTAGCAATGCCCGCGGCTCCGCCCGTATTCAGATAACCAAAAAGCAAATTATTAGGTTTTACATAATATTAGTATACTCTTACAATGCAGTTTTTGTATTTTTTCTCATAAATGAGACATTTTCCCGTGGTACAAAATATCCTATATGTTGACCCGGATAACCAGCTATCACCATACCAAACTTCATCAAAATCTCACCATAGGTTTTTCTGTGATGCGGTAACAGACAGACAGACAAAAATTCTAAAAACTATAGATTCGGCCTCTGTATCGATAATTGTCTATTTCAATAAGATTTTCCAAAAAATATTTAATGTACAGATTCGGCTTAGTTACAATTTTATTATATGTATAGATTAAAAGGGACAATATGTTTTGACCGGGGTGCCTATTAAAATATGCCTGCTAGTATGGTTTAATTAAATAAATAATTATAATTGACTTTTTGGAACAAAAACGATGCATTTGTTATTAAAATGAATTATACTCCACTTCACAGAAATATACGTAAAGATCTTGAAAAGTGATAGCTGCCGTTGCGCATTTGGCTGCAACCTTTTCGCAGCCAGGTATAAAGCAGGTCATATTTTGTTTCGTTTATACGTCCATGGCGTATATTCATCATTTATATATCAAATTAAAGCTCTTTTTTTTCTGTGCATGATAAAATACCTCTACTTATGTAAAAGTAGCCAAAACAATGGTATTTTTATCACTACAAAATTTCTAAAAGGATATATTCATTGTAAATTCGTAGCAGGTAGAGCGCCTTCCATAACCCAGTTTTCGTATAAAGGCCCTAATGAAGACCTATGCAAGTATTAAAAAGGGAAATAAAGATGAGACCGTCATTTATGTCACGAGTCACTGAATGTGAATCAAAGCTATACTTTTATCAGCATAGCAGCAGTTCAAAGAGAAAACAACAATGAATCAAAATAATCATTCGCTCATTTCAAACGTCTCCATATGTAACTTGCGATATGGGAGAGTAATACAAAAGATGTTATATGACAACACGACTGTATACCGTATAGATAGTGTTACTGAATTAGTATCGTGGAAGGTAAATTTAGATTTTTAGAAGAACCGTTTAAAACAGTATTTTTCTTCAACGTACAAATATAAAGAACGGTATTTTTGAATCTACAATTTACTAAACGACGAAAACCTCACAAAAAACGTCCCGCCTGTGACCCGACGTAACCTAGTTCTTATGGTACAACAATTAACAGTATACACCATCCACACGCAATGTAAAGACACTAAACCGTTACGCAATTCCCTCTGGATACGATCATCATGCGAGCGACTCCAGTAGTTTCATAGAGTGGTAAATCATATGATACATATTTAATGTTTACATATTGCGAGGCTCCTTAGCGGGGCGGTTAAATAATAGAATAAAAGTCTCACGAGCGCCGCAGGTCGCCATAGTAATCTTGGTATCTGTCAGGTGCGTCTAAACCATCCGCTTCTATATTACAGAACAAGGTTTTAGCAGTCATTTTTTAATTTATCAATGCATAAAAGTGTTAAGGATGCGTATAAACTACAAAGTATTGATTAGGTTTATAACTTATTCAATAGATTTGAATTTCCGTCTGTCTGTTAAATTATGCATCTCTAAAGCTTTTGAATGGCATTTAATTAACTTTACTTTGTTGTATAGGAAATCCTCTACCTCTAACTTTTTCCTGCGGCTCCGCTTGTGTAGTTAATTTAAAATAAAAGTTGTTATCGTTAATTGATAGCGTGAAGTTAGATGGGTAGCCTATTAATTATACCTTCCTGAATAAAATACGGGCAATTTTCCAAATTAGAAGTACTTCCGAGTTAGTGGCGCAAGCAAACAAAGACTTATAATCTTTTCAGCTTGATAATTTAAGTATGGATAGGTATACATAAAAATCTATATTAAAAACAGTTAAGATATGTACATATTATGTACATTTCCATCCCATTTTCCGAGCTTAAGGTTCCGCTTTCTTCTAGCTATTCGCTCCCATATAGAATAAAGTACCGAGCCGCGAGCAGAATCACGAGTAATAACGTATAAAATATAAAGTAATGAATAACATTGCATTGGAAGAAAACGCGACCTCTAAACGTAATGCATTCAATTACAATCAACATGTAGCAAGCTACAATGCAACTGAACGTGATATGGGTCAATGATATCATTTATCACCGATAGCGTATAGAAGAACAAGCAAATACGCTGAAGATAACAGCAAAAAAAACCCACAAAAATTAAAAAAAATAACTAAGATTTCAATTATACGAGTTGAAAATCGATTAAAAATTTCGACACCTGCAATTCGATATGAGAACCATACAAATTCCATAGGTTGGACTCTAGAGTAGATTGCACACACAGCTAGTGTGTACGGAGGCTTTGGTGTTACGTAAGTGCGGTGCCGAGCCCAGTGTCTTCACGCGTATTGATTATCCTAGTTTTGAGTTACGAGCGGGCTAGTACTACCCCGTGGGGCGGTCGTGACGTCACAGACGTAGCCGACTGACGCGGCGAGATCGCAAATGGGGTTGCATTAAACGAGGGGCGCGGCTGCTGCGCTTCTGGAAACATCTTATGCGTCTCGACATTGCCATTATCGTTATATTAAATCAGAGATGGTACGTTTATCTGTGGAACGTTGCTAACTGCCGTATATAGACGCGAATTGTTCAATGTTGCCAAATTATTTTCCTTATTACATTTTCGATTTAAGCAGCATCGGTTTTTATCAGACACCCAATGTTGTCTACAATCTTTATAGCAGTTTTATGATTTACGTAATAAATGGTATTTTATATAACAGTCATAGCTATGAATATACCATTACATGTAAATTTTAACTGATCCAAAAATTTTAAAGGAATTTAGAACTCGATTCGAATTTTCCTACGCCGATGATTACCTAATAGTGTGTAATTGAAATTAAAACTTTACTTTCTTAAATATGATTAAAAAAACAGATTGCTTAATAATTTTAGCTCAATTTTACTTCTTTTTTAACATGCAAATATTTGTAGATATTTTTTAAATATTGTTGAATATTACCCCTTAAGAGCAACGGAAGCAAAGTTACAAGATACTATGTGACTCAAAGTCTAACTACGTCCGTTATAATTCCCAACTCACAGTATACGCCACAACTATTACAAATACTAATCCCGCCCACCATCATAACGGTGGTCAAGCCGCCAACGTTTTTTTTAACGCTACCTAAAATTATAATGCATTATAATTGAATTATAATGAAGCTGGATAAACCATATTATTTCGTCATGATTATATTTACATATATACTAGGTGACACGACAAATCTTGTCGTGCATTCTACAAAAAACGTAGCAGCATTTTCGATTTCTACACAATTTCCTAATTTTAATTTTACACTTTTTTATTTTTCTCCTTATAAACCTTATTCGTACTATTATGAAAATTTAAATAAAATTTCCAATTCGACCCGGATGTACTCAAGTAAAGCGTTTTCAATGAACAACATCTAATTTTTTTGTATATTTAGATAAGAATGTAGTTTTTTTCCACTTAAACGTGAAAATGCAAACTAAAACACACCGAATTCTTTAAACAGCTATTTTAACTTACTAAACGATGAAATAGGTATTTATTCAATACATGCGACATATTACGCTAACTTCGCTCGGTTGCGTCCCTAGGTACGTCTTAATTTTTTTGAGAGGAACCCTAATTCTTTTTCATAAATAAAAGTAGCCTAAGTTACTCCACATAACAAAAGCTATCTGCCAGTAAAGTCCCAGAGTTTAGCCGGAACAAACCGACAGACAGACCATACAGACACAAAATTTTTAAAAATAGTGTTTTTCTTACAAGTATCGTATATAATTTCATATGCATTTGGTAAAAAGCCGTTATTTTGACAATAGAAACAGACACTTCAAGTTTATTTATCTATATAGATTATGACTTAATGTTTAGCGCATGACACTATGCATTGTGGAAGAAAACGTGAAGATATGTATGTAACATTAAGAAGCTCCCACGCAACACGATAGATAGTGCACTCTGAATCATATTGTCAGGCGGGGGGTCGGGGCCAGGGGTGAGGCGCGTCACGTGACGCTACAGCCTAATGAGGAAATACGTCGTCAACCTCATTAGCGCATATTAACAATCAAGGTGCCGCACTCGCCACGATGCGCGCTGACCTACACAGTACACCTATCACTGCCTCTTTGGTAATGCTCTATTGTTACGATTTACGTCCATCATGCCATCTCCGCTAAACATTTATTGTCATAATAGAATATTTTATGACAACATATCTTGTTGTTTCACAACTTATGCTTATGGATGCAATACTTACGTACAAAATAGAAAACCATATTCGTCATTAAAATAAACCTGTACGCAAGAATGACTTCATCTATCCTAATTTCACCGCCGTAAAAACAATGAAGAATGGTAGTTGCACGCTAACCTTCCATCAGGGGAGATCGATACTTATTATGGCAAAAATAGCAAGTACATATAGAAATAGCCATCAAGCCCTGGCTTGCCCGTGTCTTTTTCCAAATGTACACCCATAAAAACTCTGCAATATTTTTTCACCTAAGAAATGGAACTTCACTAAAATATATCATTTTCTATACATATAATAAAATTCTAAACCAGTGGAATCTGGACATTAAATATTTTTTTTGAAAATCTTATTGAAATAGTCATTATTATCGATACAGAAACCGAATCTATAGTTTTTAGATTTTTTGTCTGTGACCGCATCACGAACACGATAAAACTACTGGATACGTTTTAATGAAATTTGGTATGATGATAGCTGGTTATCCGGGTCAACATATACGATATTTTTTACTGCGGGAAAATATCCCACATCTGAGAAATCTATACAAAACGTTAACAGCTAGTACTTAGTATGACTTATTTACCTTCATTTTGTAGTAGAAAACTTTGGACTCGCCGGTCTGCGAGCTGGGTATGAGGTGTTTGTCGAGCACGCCGAGTATGTCCGAGCAGATGTCGCGCAGCTCCTTCTCCACCTGGCTGCGGTAGGCGCGGATCATGTTCAGCTTGTCCTCTGCGCCCTGCAACACAACGGGACAGCTTTACTTACACGCTTGCACGTCACTAACACGCACGTGCAATCACGTCATGTCACGAACAAAAGCCCATCGAGAGTACACTAGTTTTCTCTTAGTTATAGACAGAGACACCATTGGATGGTTATCAATTATTAAGTAATGAATTTTGATAGATTTTGTATAAATACTACAAATATTCTATAGAAAAACACTAATAGAAATCTATTAGTTCCCACGGGAACCGTTCATTTTTCCCGGATGAAAAGTAACCTGTTGTTTGACCGGCAATATAAGGTATCAGAATGTTAAATTTTACTAAATTAGGTGCATAAGTTGTATAACTTATAATAGTTTTTTAACTATCCCACGGGAACCATTTAATTTTCCGGGATAAAAAATATCTAAGACGTTGCCCGGGGATATAAGGTACCACCATGTAAAATTTCATTTAAATCGGTCCTATAGATTCAGAGATTAGCCCGTACAAACAGACAAACAGACAGAGAAACAAAAAAATTGAAAAAAATCTGGATTTGTTCTATTTGTCTTCTTACATCCCCCTGACTCGCGATGGCTTATTATTAGCGTATTTCATGTATAACTTTGGTGTTTCTATACCGATTTCTATGATTCTTTTTTATGGAATAGTTTATAATGTTAACTTTTTTAATTAGGGATGACTGAGTGTTATAAACGTAAGAGTAGACAAATATAAATCAGAAAGCTGCTTCGAACTGCTAAGCTATCAGGAGTTACACGTATTATTGTGAGTCAACCATAAAAGATAGACATATGCTGTCGTGGGATATTTTTTATATAATTTTAAGGAGAACATTTCCGTCATACATGATTTCTGTGTAGCTTTAACCATTAAGGTTGCACACGCGACGGAAGCTTAAAAAAAACCGACTTCAAACAAAAGCACTAAAAAGTAAAAAATAACTGATTGGTAGTTTTCATTTACTATACATACCTAATCAAATATTTTCGAAGTCGGTGTGCTTTGGACAAGTAATTAAAGCCTACCTATTAAATACATACCTAATCAACTATTTTCGAAATCGGTGCCAGCCCATACAAAGCAAAGCACACTGACTTCGAAAATATTTGATTAGGTATGTATAGTAAATGAAAACTACCAATCAGTTATTTTTTACTTTTTAGTGCTTTTGTTTGAAGTCGGTTTTTATTTTTTTGTTAAAAAGTTTTTATTTTTCCCTTTTTAGTGTAGACAGTAGTAGCAAAGTAAGAATTCTAACGTGTTAGGCTTGTCAAATCAAACAAAATAAGCCCAAACTCAAAGTATCTACTATTAGCCGTTGAAGAGTTCCACCTATCCACCTTCTGGCCTTACCATCAGATCAAGTCAACAATACCGAACCACTGTACTATCAACAGAAATGGAAACACTTGCAAAGTTTCAAGTCAATATGACAATTAGAAGTAGGTTAAATTCATCATTAGCTATTTTTCCACCCTTAGGAGTGGTATTTTTTATTGAAATTTAAATGGGACCTATCTGGAAGTATACACTTTCAAACAAAACAAAAATTGTCAAAATCGGTTAATAAATGACGAAGTTCTGAGGTAACAAACATAAAAAAAAACAAAAAAAAAATACAGTCGAATTGAGAACCTCCTCCTTTTTGAAGTCGGTTGAAAATGGAGTAACTTCTCCCGTTTTCCCAACATTTCCCTTCACTGCTCTGCTCCTATTGATTGTAGCGTGATGAAAAGTATTCTTTAACCAGCTCAGGAGTATGAAAAATAATTGTACCAAGTTTCGTTAAATTCCGTTGAGTAGTTTTTGTTTCTATAACGGTTATACAGACAGACAGACAGACAAAAATTTTACTGATTGCATTTTTGGCATCAGTATCGATCCCTAATCACCCCCTGATAGTTATATTGGAAATATATTTCATGTACACAATTGACCTCTCTACAGATTTATTATAAGTATAGATAAATAGTATCTTTCTAGTACATCCTTATGAGACCATATTGTTTACCTTAAAATCGATAAAATTCTTAAGACCCTTACTAATTAAAAACATTAAATAATGATTTCGAACTATTATAATTAATGCCATAATATATAACAGAAACATGGCAGACAGAATTATACGTGATAAAATATAGAGATTATCTATACATTATTATAATAAAATTGTAACTGAGCCGAATCTGTACATTAAATATTTTTTGGAAAATCTTATTGAAATAGACATTATTATCGATACAGAGCTCGAATCTATAGTTTTTACAATTTTTGTGTCTGCCTGTTACCGCACACCACTGGACAGATTTTGATGAAATTTGGTATGATAGCTGGTTATATGGGTCATCATATAGGATACTTTTTATTGCGGAAAAATATCTCATCTCTGAGAAATTTATACTAAACCTTAAAACGCAACCAGGGACGAACCCGAGCGGAGCGAGGGTGAGTCGCTAGTATTATAAATTCATACAAAATAATTAACTTTCATTTATCACCTGTTTGACGTCTGACATTAACCAGCTAATTAGGGACAAAAACGGTCTTTAATGAAAAAAAAAAGGATGAAACGAACGCGGGAGGCGTTCCTGCGCATTATTACAAAAGTTGCATCGATCGACCCGCCCGCATGTTGTTTGCTAACGGGATAATTTGTATGGCAGTGGCTCGTCACAAGATGCGATAACGTAAATCCTCAATAAGATAAAACATTGAGGTAGATGTTATATACACATTAAAAAATAACAAACGTATCGATATATATAATATATGACTTGACTTTTAATCTAACAAAATTTAAACTCTCATGGTACATAATATTAATGTACTCTAAATGCTGCCTGAACTTATAGAAATATAAGTACCTATATAAACTTAAAAAACAAAACCTTACCTAAATACAAAATTTAATCAAAATCGATAGATAAATAAATTTATATATGTAATAATAAGTATAGATATACATATATACAAGAATTGCTCATTTAATAATATAAGATCCTGTAAATTATAATGTAAAGAATGGCGGGGATAAAATGTAGACTACATCGACTGTTACCACGATGCAACCATGTACTTTTGCTAGTGTTGCAACTGTTTTTTTTTCCATCGTAAAAAAAGTTGACAAATAGAAAACATACCTCAATAAAACATTTCATTTTTTTTTTAAATCGGAAAAAAACCAAAGTTGGAAAAAAGTTTTTTCATGTTCTTTTTTCAACATAGTGAAAAAACAGTAGTTTTTTCGTTTATCATCTTACCACATAAAGTATTTAAAATGTAACATACAAACAGAATATGAAATATGTATATACATACATAGTATATTAATATGAAATAAGGACTTGAGGACTTTAAAGACCAGAGCGAATAGATTAGAAATACAAACTTAAATCCACCAAAATTACTGTTAAATTATAATCAAAAAACCTACACGCAAGAGTGATGTGACGTCAAAGAACTACCGGATAGTAACGCACCGCACTTGATACAAACATATAAGGGAAAAGTGCATTTCCACAAAGCACTTTGGCTTAGACAAGAGTTTTATGGTACTTTAACGAAATAGCTGGGGACAGTGTCATCAAACTGCATGAGATTCCACCCACTAGTTCCTCGATAGGGAGGGAATTGCGCATCGTAGTCATTCATAAGTAGAATATCAATGTAGCATTTAGTTAGTCGACACATCGATACAAATATAATCTAGAACGGGCTGGCACTGACTAACGTCAGTAGAGGTTGCGGGTTCAACGACTTAACAAGGTGAAGGTTTCTTTCTATTAATCATCTTCACTTTTACTTATAAACGCCAAAGTGCCCTTCGAAAGTTAGTTTGCCCTTTTTTTCGTATAACAAAGCTATAGATCGATGTGATTTTTGCCATAGACTGTCATAGGCTGCTTTTCATTCCGTTAGCGGTTAGATCGGTATATTTACCGTGGGTAGTAATTAAAACTGTTTTTAGCTACTTAGTGACGTGCTTGAGTAAAGTAAGGCTAGATCATTAGTATATCTTTGTTCTAGCTAAACTATTAGTATCTAATGTGCAGTCCTCACTTATCTATACATATAATAAAATTGTAACTAAGCTGAATCTGTACATTAAATAGTTTTTGGAAAATCTTATAGAAATGAGACATTATTATCGATGCAGAAGCTGAATCTATAGTTTTTAGAATTTTTGTCTGTCTGTTACCGCAACACAGAAAAACCACTGGAGGGATTTTGATGAAATTTGGTATGGTGATAGCTGTTGGTATGGTGATAAAGTTTTACGTTCGAGTGACCGTGTGCCTTGGTAGAAAATACAGTGTGAAGCAATATATGTATTAGTAACGTAATTAAACACCTATGAAGAAGCGTAGTATAATTAATTTATGATTCGTTTTCTTATAGATACGTATAAAAGTAATTGGATTTTAAATTTAAAACAGTTATTTTATTGTTTATGTTCACCACATATCAATGAGTTAAGTAGATTAGAAGATAAAATAAGATCATCTATACCTTGATATATTAGCTTTTCACTTCATAAAACACCTATAAAAAGTTTAGATTAAAAATTCTGGCTCTTGATAATAACTTCACACAGAATAGTTCACATTTTGTAGTCGGCGCAATATATGATTTTAAAACGTGTGCGTCACGCGATCTTGTTTACTGAACGTAAAAACAGTTTTAAAGCTTTACACTGTACCATGTTACTGGAGACTGGTCATGAAATTTAGGCGTCACATAAAAATGACTTCCGATATTATGAATGGTTTAGAAATAATTTAGGAAGAATTCGTTCCATACAATTCTTTCGTTTAATCGCCTTCTGGTAGCTAGCTAGTAGCTAGCTTCTAAATTTTATGTAGCTAGTAGCTACATAAAATTTAGAAATTCTCCTACCATCTATTCAGATAAATAAAATTGAAGTGTCTGTAAGCAAGTGTTTGTAATGTCGAAATAAAATCTTCTTTTACTAAATGAAATATGAATGTGAAATTATATACCG